TTAAAGATATCAACTCTGTATCTTTATGGTTTCAGTGACTGGCATAGTACTGATTATGCAGTTGAAATTCCTTAATATTTGTGCAATAGAAATGAATTTCACTATTTCCCTTGTCACCTTTACTTAAGGGATTATATCTGTTCTTTTCTGATAGATGACGTCAAGGGCATACACTAAATTGAATGAGAATTGGAAATGTTAATGAAATTTGGAATGGAGTTTTGAAAATTCATGCATTCATTTTTGTGATTAATGATATTTGAACATTTAAAAATAGGAATAGCATTATAAAATAAGGAACTGCATTCTTATGCTTTAGTTGGTGAGTTTTATTCAGAGATTCAGGTATAAAATCTTGGTCCTTAGATTGGTAGCATTGGGTGGTAAGGTGGACCATTAGAAGTCTTGCTTAGAAGGGAAGCCTTCAGGTTATTGCTGGCCTTGAAAACCATTGTGAAAGTCCAGATTCTCTTTCTTTGTGTTGTGGGTTGAGAATGTGACCACTCTCTGTTACATATATTCCTAAATGTGCCATTTTCATCAGAAACTGATGGGGATGCTGAGTTTTGGACTTACTGCTCTAAAGTTTTTCTCTTTATAAAGCTAGTTGCCACATGTATGTTATTGTAGTTCCACAACACTGACTAATGTACATGTATACTATGATGTCAATTTTTAAGTTTTTTCATTGCTTGACATTATCTAATAAAAGTTCCTGTGCTTTCAATAGTCTATTTAATAAAGCCTTTATTATTCTGTGGCAAATTCACCCTTTAAACTGCCTCTAAAATGTATCTCTGATTATATCAGTTACTTTCTCCATACAGTCTTCAAGATTTTATTTTTATTATTGTCTGGCTAAAAAATGTCTTTTGTGTCTATCTTGTTTCCATTAAAACTCAGTTATTGTATCCCCAAGCCACATTGAGTTAAGTAATATTTCCTATGGAATGAAGAACATCTTCAGAGAAGGATATTGTTTTGTGTAACTAAATTATTTCCATATTGTTAATATATTTTTTGCAATAAATATGTTGCTTTTTTGTTGTTGTTTTTATTAAACATTTTCCCCTGATGAAGAATATAAAATATTTAAAGTCTCAAGTGCCTAACATTTATTAAATGGCCTGAATATGTGGAAAATATTGTATATTTTGAGTATTCTTCACTTAAGAAAATTTTTGGCCCATACCTTAATTTATGAAAGACTGACTTAAAAGTTATTTTTTTCTAAAAATCAAACCAAAGCCAAAGTACCCCTCCCCATTTTAATCTTGTTTCCTTTATTTTTAGCTATTAAAAATTATTACAGACTTTTCTTCTATTTTCTTTCCTATAAACTTCCTAGGTGTCCCTTTGAAAGCAGACAGCAATATAAAAATCTCAAAAATTAACGTAGTAAGGAATTTCCCTGAGGGCTTTCTGAGTAGACTACTTAGAAGACATTTCCAGATAAGGCACAATGCATGCTCCCCGATCTGCCTCTCCTATGTTGAAAGGCCTGTCTGAAATTAGAGCATCAGTACTGATCTAAGAGGAATCATCTTCCAGAAGAACAAGGATTTTAGCCTGTTCTACCCTTTTTTTTTTGCTTTTGTACTCCTGTTTCCTGCTACTTCCTTAGAGTAATTTTTTCCCTAGTTATTCAATTTACTTAATTTTCTTAAGATTTTCCATAATCTATACATTCCAATAAATACAGACTGCCTAGTATGTATTATTCTTAGTATGCCTGCATTTGTACTTTTTTATAGTGATTAAAAAAATGAAAAATCTCAAAGGCTTTTGGAATTCGAGGAGAAAATCTTAATTACAAATCCAGTGATTTTTACATATGTTAAAATTAAGCAAATTTCTATGTAAAAGAAAATTGATGAATTTAAAAGTGTAGAAAACTATTGCCACTTTGAGATAGAGAAGATTTATAGCTAACGTTTGTTGAATACTTGTGAACTACTGTGGTACATAAGGCTTCCTCTGTGATTCTGATGAGCTATGAGATTTCTTCCTACTTAATAGGACGAAATAAGGAAAATAAGGGTGACTTGTTCAAGGTCACATGAAGTAAGTAACAGTTAGGATTTGGACCTGGATTTTTATTTCATTTATATTTTAACTTTTCAGCATTGATTCTTTTAATTATAAGATTAATAGCCTTAAAATTAAAACACAGTAGACCTTATTGTAAGGAAAAGATGACTTTGAGGTTTTATTTAAGTATACCTTTGTGACTATTGGTGATATGCTTCTATTATTTATTAACTTCTTGAGCTTGGATAACTTGCATATTTATCTGAGCCTCTTTATTTGCTTTGTAAAAAGATTAAAAATGTCAATGTAGTGATCAAACTTTTCAATATTTGCAATCATTCTTTATATTAGTAAAGAATGCTAGTTTGTAAATTAGCTTTGTTTTATATTCTTGGTTGCTAAAAATTTGATCTAGTTTTTAAATATCCTTTAAATTCATAGGGAAACATTAACAGAGATTGCAGTAGAAGGGGCCTAGGCAGGATGAGCTCGCCATGTCCTCAGGCATTTTCTTTTTTGGGTTACAGTGATTTCAAAGTGAAATGTGCATTTCTGTGTCAGAAGCTATAGGGCTGACCTTGAGGGAAGTTAGGATATTTAAAGTAATATAATGCTATAATCCTGTTTCCATTGAAATCTTACCAAATGGAACATTTGAACATAGCCTAGGAAACTTCTTAAGAGTGATTTATTTCAAAAATTTAAACCTGAAAATGTATTTTGAAATGTTATACTCACATCAATAATAACATTACTACATACTTTTAAAAATAGGCAATTTTATTTTTATTATGATATGTATATATTTTTAACCCTAAGACAATTTTGCTTATACTATTTGATCATTTTATTATTATTATTTCATATGCCATTTAATATGTGTTACAGTTCAATATAGAGAGAAATATAACAGACCAATATTTCCAACAGGTTAAAAATCCTTTTCACTGTAGTATTTAATGTTGTTTCAACAGATTTGTAAATCTCTTTGTTTCTCCAGGTCAGAATTTAAAGTATTTTGAAACACTTGTCAGTCTGTCTGTCTGTCTATCTGTCTCTATGTATGTATTTAGCCTGTATGTATTTGTGCTTGTGTCTATGTATGTATTACATCCCAAGTCCATTTTTTGTTTGTTTGTTTGTTTGTTGTTTCTTGAGACAACATTTCCCTAAGTCACTAAATTGCCCAGACCGTGGTTGAACTTGGAATCCTCATGTCTCTGTCTCCCAGAGTTCTGGGATTATAAAGATTTGCCTTTTTTGTCTAGTGTCAATATTTAAACTAAGGAAAGTTCATAGAAAATCTGGAGTTTTTTTCTGTTCTGAATAATCATCTGACAGGGCAGAGTATGCTTGGTAACAATGAACTGTGTCTGTGAAATGGAGACTGTAGCTTTTAGATAGGGAATGCACTCTTCATTTTATCATAGTTTCTATTTCTCTCTGTTGGATTTCTGTTTTCCATGGGCAGTCTCACTGGTCATTGTTTCGTCTTTTGAATTGTACTTTTAAGTGTTTTATATAGGGGCAGGTGATCATATTTATGAAGCACGCGTACCTCTTACAGGTAGTTCAGTTTTGTCCCTTGGCATAAGGACTATGAAACTGGAATTATTTTGAGCATTATTCTATATTAACATACTAATATGTTACACTTTATCTCCTTCTCCTCCCCCACCTTGAACTCACTTACTGCACCCTTTCTATTTTTGCTGATTCATAAATTATTGTTTTCTAGTGATATATTTTGATCTTGCATTTATTTATTTCTCTGGTCTGCATTTTCATTTTAACTTTCATTTTGTTGTTTTGTCATATAATCTCCTAACTGTTACCTTATTCTATTCATTTTTAACCAAGTTATTGCATAGTATGAAATATTTGTAGGAATGTCCTTTTTTGAGTAAGTTGGAGTGTGTTTTATTAGTCAGCTTCTGAAATTTTCTGTTTTTCCTATATATCCCTACCTATATTCATACAATCTTTCTGAGAATTTCACTGCTTCCCTTCAGAGTATCAGAGGTGCACAGATAAGCTTATTAGCACTGCTCCATTCTTTGTGTAGTTTCAATTCCTTTATTTTTGACTTGCTAGTAGCTGTCACAGGTTATTTGTCCCGTTTTTACCAGTTCCTTCCTCCTTTGCTTCTGCCCAGATATCAGGGTACTTAAGAAACATAGGCAGTATGTTTTGGTGTACTAATGCTGAATCTTGGGGAACAGCAGGGAGTCAGGGCAACCATATGTTTTCTTGATTCTGCTTGAGAATCTCCAAGTCTTTTCATGGCCATTGGTTTTGTAATTTAACATGGTGCATGTTCTTACTTGTGCTGATGCATGCTTTATGGGAAGGTGAGGCAAACAGTGCCTACAGGTCAATTTTGATTTAGTTCTTTTTTGTGTGTGAATGAAGTGTTACTGGAATCCAGCCTGGCCCACTCATTATCATCTGTGACTCCTGTGATTTAAAGACGTAACTGGGTAGCTGTGACAGAGACTGTATAGCTAGAAAAGCTTAAAATATTCACCCTCTGCCTTTTTACGGGAAGCTTGTGAAACCCTGCTGTAGGGTAATTGTATTGTTCTTTTAGGAATTTTGACTGCTTTTTCATTTTTAAAAAAAATTTTGGAGTCAGAGAAATGAGACGTACAGATTTTTTTTCAGTGTACTGTCGACATAGAAATTATTCTTGTAATCTAAAGCAAATATATGTAAACATAACTTATTCGTTATGTGAAACTGTTTTGAAATTACAAAAAGTGGTAGGTGAATTAGTTCAGTTTATCTACCTAACAAGTTTTATATCCTAACAGGCAACTACATTCAGTAAATGAAATTAAATGATATTTAAAAAAATTAAATACATTATTCTTCTTAAATGATGCCTTTGTTTCTTAGACTAGTGCACCTACTTCATTGGAATACCACATTTGAAAGATTAATTTTATTTCTTTTGCACTTTTTCAAAGGTATAAGAAGTTTAGCCACATCTTGAGCGACATTGGAGAGAATGAAGGAGGTATTGATAAGTTTTCCAGAGGCTATGAATCATTTGGCATTCACAGATGTGCTGATGGTGGAATATACTGCAAAGAATGGGCCCCAGGAGCAGAAGGAGTTTTTCTTACTGGAGAGTTTAGTAAGTACTTTGATATCATTCATGTTAAATGATTATGTGGCCAATGAGAAAGTCTTTTTCAGTTTTGAAAATGAAATAAGTGGAAAAGAAAGCATTTATAACCTGTCGATGATACAAAGAAAAAGGAGTATCAGAATGATCAGACTACAGACATGTATACTATTTAAAATTGGGTTTTATCAGGCTCAAAAGTTTACATGCTGTGTTACTCCACTTTTATGATATTCTAGAATCAGAAAAACTTCCAGAGCTAAAAAGATAAATTATTATTGATAGGTGTTAAGGGTAGTAGCTAAAGGTTGATTACAAAGGGGCACATATGAAGACATTTTGGGGCTTGTGAAAACATTGTAGATTCTAATTGTGGTAGTGGTTATATGACCATTGTTTACTGAATATATAGAACCTTACATGTAAAAAGAATAGATTGAACTGTATGTAAGTAATACTTCAATGAACTCGACTTAATACAAGTTTTGCTTTATTTTTATTGTCTAAAATATCACTATCTGATACAAATAAAATGTAAGATAAATATAACTACAATTTATTGTAGTCACTAAAAAAGTAAAAGAACATGCGAATGTTTTAGTAATGAATTTCATTTAACTCAACATGTATAAATGCTATCAAATTAACGTTTAATCAATATAAAAAGTACTGAGATATTTTCACTCTCCTTTTGTATTTGTTGAAATCTAGTTATGGCAAGTGCTATTTCAGATGCTTAATTTTCATGGGTAGTACTTCATACAATATTTAGATTTAATAAAATTTTCAGTTTAGAAGTAGGTTCACATACCAAGGTTTTTCCAAACTTAATTAAAATTTTTCCAGTAACTGATTCTAGTAACAGTTTTAAAATTTAAATTTAATGAAGTAATTAAAATGAAATAAAATATAAAATTCAGTTTCTCAGTTCCACTGACCTCATTTCAGGTTCTCAATAGCCACATATAACTACTGACTCCTTTCTTGGCATGTGCGGATCTAAGGATTTAAAGTAATTCTCTATGCAGTCACAAAGAGCAGATGATGTTTGATGCTTGTGTTTCTGAATCTTATTTGAAAACTTACTGGACAATTTATAAAAGATGATGAAATGTGATAGTTCAGATTTTTTTGGCGTGATGATAATTATGGAATGTATTTTGAGAGTATATTTTTCACTTAAATTATTATTTCTAGTAATTTTTCCTGTACAAAACATTTCCTCATCTTCAGTGACTACCTTTACCACTAGTTTTTGTTACTGGATTATTGAAACCTTATTCTATAGTGAAGTGATTCTTTGATACCTTATTTTGTTTTTGTTTGTATTCAAAAGATTTGGAGTTTTCATTGAAAGTGTTCAAGATAAATTTAGTATATATATATATATATATATATACACTAAATAAGATTCTCAGTTAACATTTGATTCTTGCATATTTGATACTTTCATATTCCTCTCCCGTATTTATGATCAAATTTACATAGTAGGCTTAACTAGTGTAAAAATATAGGAAAGAACTATATGAAAACTAGATTTGTGAACTATGGTTATGTCTAGTGCTCATTTACTAATGTTGTTTTATGTGTGTATGGAAAGTTATACTTAAAATGTTAAGCTTTAATGCTTAAATATTAAAATAGCATAGTAGTATGAAAATATTTATAAATAGAAAGTAGTCATTATTTGGTCCCTATCTTAATGCAGAAAGGTCCTCTATTAAGATTTTTTTCCCCATTCCAACTTGATTTTTAAAATCCTCTCTTTTGTAAAGTTGTATTGCATAATTCTGTATCTCTCCATTTCTTGAAAATAACATTCAGTCAGTGATTTTCAGTCAACAAATATTTATTTAATGTCTAAGGTCATGAGTAACATCATGTTTAATCAATGCTCTTTTTTTTACTAGAGAGATAGGAAAGTTTAAGGTAAATGAAATTTTGAGAGAAAATAGTTAAGAGCAGGCAGTATCTTGGGGAAATGTAAATGTCAACTCAATTTTTAAAAAAATCTGAGTGAAAGAATATCTATTTTTCTGCCTGTGGTTACATGGCCCCTTTATATAAGAGATGTCAGCTTTTTTTCTTTGAAGAGTTTTGAGTTTAAAAAAGATAAACTTGAAAATTGTGAGTGGAACAAAAATAGATTATGAACCAATTGTATTCGAAAGAAGATTTATTTGGAAAAATATAGAAATGGATATTAAATGAGGATGACTCTAATGAACATGGAATTTTCATAATTATAACAATCTGGCTGAAAATATATCATTATGTAGCTTAACAATGATATCTTTTCACATTTTCTAAGCATAATTATTCTGTGTGTTTTGTCTTTATTTATTTAAAATCTTTACCCTGAAAATAACTGAACAGGAAAAAAGTATTTATTTTTTGAGTTTTTTCCCTCTGGATTAAAGTGCATTTGAAAATTTTATTGTAAATCTTCTAATATATCAATGTGTAATAATCTGAAAGGAATAGAAATCCATGGTAATCAGTTCACAAATGACAGTAGATTTTAACTTGAAAATTTAAATCAGTATGACAGTGTTCTATGTGGTTTTGCTAATGATATTAAAATATTTTCAAAATATGTAACTACTCATATGATCTCATGTATGAACTGATGGATTACTTAGTGTTAACCAACAAGATTGGAAGAATAGTCTTATTTGCAGTTGTCTTCTTTCTTAATAAAAACACTGCTTTTCATTTCAATAGATAGTTAAATATTGCTGAAATTGGATAGTTTTTTTCCCCCCAAACTGACTTTTGTTATTCACGTTTTTAAAGCCATTTGGCAAATTCACATTAGATATAGATCATATGTTTTTCTTTATTTGGGAGAAAATGAAGTATTTTCTTTCATTCACATTTAAAGAGCCAATTTCTTACGCAGATAGCAGCTGCTGCAGCATCCCAAAAGGATAGTGTGCATATATGACATTCATCAGAATTGGAATCTTACCACCCAAAATGTATTTCTGGGCGAAACTTTAAATCATCTGCAATACAGGAAAGATTCATTGTTTGGAAAATTAAATGTGGAGTTTTGGTACTAAATTATGTTTATTACAGGTTGCCAAATAATTGAAGAGAACTAGCTGCTTTCTAGTATGAAAATGACGATAAGAGAGAAAGACAGTAAACTGCATATGTCAATATGAAATATTTGGGTTCCTATTCACTATAACTGAAAGCACTTCATTTAAAATTACTAAGTACAGCAGCCAGGTACTTTTCAAGTTACCTAAATATTTAGAACTGAAACACTAAAACACATGCACACATACGTGTACACACACACACACACACACACACACACATGCACATACACATGCACACACACACACCAACATATTTTAAGCCTATGGAAAAATGAAAGCACTGATATTTTTGAAGTTGGAAAGATACCAAAGGGAATTTTACTGGGCTTTTCTGGACCAAATTTGTCTGTTATCTTTTTTCCCTGTATGTGATGGCAAGGAAGTTCACAGGTTCCTAATAGTCTTTATATTTCTCAGTTCTACCTGTGAAGCAGTGCTACTTAAAGTATTTACAATGCATCTGTCTGGTTTCTTCAAGAGGAATCAATTTGCAAAGATATTGTCAGAAATTGGGAATTAGCATTAAGATTCATTTAATTTCTGGTGATCTAATAATGATAATACTAAAGTTGAGTCTTGCATTTTCAGTTTTTTCTTTGGATTTTTGAATAAATTTACTAATTCATAAGTATTGATCTAGAATAGATTTGCAGTTTTATTTTTATTTTTTAAAATTTATTTTAAAGAGAATAAAACAAAACAAAACAGAACAAAGCAAATCAGAACAAAACAATGCAAGCAACACGGGATTTCAAAGCAAGATAACAGGAAATCAACAGTGACTACTATAATGTCTCTTGTTTTCCTCGAAATAATTATCCATACCTTCAGACACAATAAAATCAAACAAAACAAAATAAAATAAAACCAATCAAGACAAAAGAATGAAAGCATTATGGGAGTTCAAAGCAAGAGAATAGGAAATGAGCAATGGCTACCACAATGTGTCTTGTTTTCTTCAAAATATCTTCACACATAATAAAATTAAATAATACAAAACATACTAAAACCAATCAAAACAAAAGAACGAAAGCATTATAGGATTTTAAAACAGGATAATAGGAAATGAACAATGGCTATTATTAATGTCTCATTTTCTTCAAAATAGCCCATCCATACTATCAAACATAAGGAAATCAAATAAAATGTAACACAATAAAGCCAATCAAAGCAAAAGAATAAATTCAGTGTAGGACTTCAAAATCAGATGATAGGAAATCAACGATAACTACCATAATGTCTTGTTTTCTTCAAAATAGCTAGTGATACCATCACATATAATAAAATAAAACAAAAAACAGAATAAAACCAATTATAAGAATGAAAACATTATAGGACTTCAAAACAAGATAATAGGAAACCAATAATGATTACCATATACATCCGGTTATCTTCAAAATAGTTGCCCATACCATCAGACACAGTAAAATTAACAAGACAGAACAAAACCAAACCTAACAAAATTATGAAAATGATACAAGAGCTCTAGACATGACAATAACAAATTAATAGTGGTTACCACTTTCCCCTGCAAGGTGTTTCCTCCCCTATCACTTTCATAATATATATCATGCTTTTTGGGTCCCACTAACTCTTTTTTTTTTTATGCTAGGGCTCACCTGTATGAGTTCTAAACATTCTTCCCATGAACATGATCTCCAGTTGCATCCATTTACCTACCAGAGCCTTGAGATTATCCTACTTTATAGCTGGGTAGCTTTCCATTGTACAAAAATACCTTATCTTTCTTATCCATTCTGCAGTTGATGGGCAAGATACCCTTGCTTTTTTTCTGGTCTCTTATCACATGGACCAATTGTTTTCTCTCCTTTGATTTTCAGTCTATAAATTTCCTGTTGAGTTAAATGTGTTTCTTGTATACAGTATACTGATGGATCT